GGCGGGGCCGCGCTGCTGGGGCGCAGAGCGTCGCTGCTCAAGGTGTCCCTCCTAGACACTCTTTAGTTGCGCCCGACGCTTCTCTCCCCGCCGCCGCACCACGCCACCGCTCACGCCGCCTCGCCGCCGCGCCGCTCCGCCCCGCGCCGCTCCCCCCGCCCTCCTCTCACCTCTCCCTCTCCCTCTTGCTCTGGCCCGTGGTTCTGCAGTACACACAGTACTCTCAAACAATCTAGGTGTCGCTCCTCGCGGCCGCCGGTCCCTACGATGCTGAAGACGTAGTCGTTCCTCTTCCGCGGCTAGCACTCGAGAGGACTCGAGAGGATACTGCATGCCTCTGTCTTCCACCATATCTCCCCATCTCTCCCCATCTCTCCCCCATCTCTCCCCCATCTCTCCCCATCTCTCCCCATCTCTCGCTGTCTTCCGCCGCATTCAGCTGCGTTCAGCTGCACTCGTTTCCCTCGTGTCCCTCGTATCGCCCGCATGCAATGCGCGCGGTGCACGAGACCGCGGACCCCGCCGTTGATGCTGGTGTACTGAGTCTGCTCCCGCCCTGATGCTGGTGCACTGAGGCTGCAGGCCGCGGTCGGCTGGTCCCTGCGCGGCCAGCTCGCGGACCAGTACGGCGCGGAGGCGGCGGCGGCGTCCGCCTCCCTCTCCGCCGCGGCGCGCGCTGCTGCGCAGGCGGCGGGGGCGCTGCCTCCCGAGCTCCCGCCACCGTGACGAGGAGGGGTCGCTCGAGCGATTGGGCGCGAGGCTCGTCCAGGCGAGTGTGTGCTGGAGTGGGTTGGTCCGCGCCGTGGCGCGTGTGTGGTGGGTTGTGTGTGCTGTGCTGCTGCCAGTGCAGGCCAGCCGGGCAGCGCGTGTGACGGGTTTGTGCTGTTGTGAAACTGCCCGTCGCCCGTGTGCGTTCAGGGACGAGGGAGTGGCGTGGTCCACCGGAGTTTGATTCTCATGCTGAGGGTGCGTCTCTCTTGCACTCTGGCCCGAGATGCGATCGAGTCGTTGCAGAGCGCGCGATCGGCTGGCGACGGGGTCTCCACTGCTCACCTGGTGGCGCAAAGTGAGTTTTGAATATATCTCGTCTACGTAAGAACGCCGCGTTGTACCGATCTGCAAGCGGCTCTCCGAGGCGAACGAGCGCAGAGCGTTCGCTTTGCTCTGATCCCTTGGCACTCGGTCGAGACGACCACGAGGCTGATGGTGATGCGCGTCTCCACGGCGAAAGAAGTGCCGAGGAGGCCATGGTGGAGGGGAGGGACGGGAGGATGAAAGAAGGGCGAGGAGGACGAGCGGCCCGCACAGGCCGCGAGCAGACAGCGCCTGCTGGCCATCTCGAGACATTCGCAAAGAACGCTAGCTACATGGGAGGGCTTCGTGAAGGATGGATTGAAAACCATTCGAACAAAGAAGAGGCGGACGGGAGGAACCGGCAGAGGATGCAGTGACGTGACACAAGACGGGCAGTACCTCTGTGCTGGGAGCCATCCACAGTGAGACACACCCTAGATCTGACGAGAGACTGACCGGTCAGCTACCAGTCCGGCCCCGGCGATTGTATTGACCTGCTCGCCTCGAACGCGTGTCAGGTTGGGGTGGCTGCGTTCGGGTGGTAAATCATGACGGAGGGTGCTACAATATCTCAAACTGCATCGCCGCCTCATTCCAAGGCGTTCCCGTGGCTGGCCTGCGACATCCGTACACGAGGTATGCGTCGCAGGAAGCGCACGCCATGTCCCGCAGGGACTTTACCATCAACCGCAACCTGACGAATCTCGACGGTTTCTATGCGCCCATCGAGGCGGCTTGTGGCGGCGGCGCAGAATGCACCAGGCGCGAGGTGAACAGGCGGGTCCGCGTGAGGATGCGAGTTCTGCTGTGGCCTCAGGCGTTCTGGATTCGGCCATCGACTCTCATTGTCTGCGTCTCGGAGAATGCAACCCTGACCAACTTGCGTTGGGGGCGGGCACTGAACCACCTTTGCAACACAACTGTCACAGACGAGGAGACAACGCAGGATGCAGCAGCGAACCGCAGGAGCACACACACGTACAACGACACACGGGCATACAACACGAGCCTCATCGCGCGCGTCTTCCGAGAAGACGTGGTACTGTGGAATCGGCATTGCGCTGATGGTGGCGAGGGGTGGGGCGAACGGGGGCGTACTGAAGAACATCCGCGCGCTCGTCGGGTTCTTTTCTCGTCGGGTATCACCCCGCTTCGTGCCACTCTGTGACTGAGTGTGTGTTGGAGTTCATATACAGCATACATCATACAGACGCACGGACAGCCTATGAGCCGTCTCAACTTGAGGGCTCGGGTTTAAGCTCTGAGGCGGGGCATGTCCTAACATCAGTGGACACACCTCGCCGCGACCCACAGCCCATGCCCTCCCCCACACCAGCCCGCCGCCGCGACGCGACGCGTCACTGCGCGGCGGCGCGCGAGGCCAGCGCCAGCAGCCTCCTCGTCTCCTCCGTGAGCCGGTCGCAGTAGTCCGGGGTGGTCGGCCTGGTGTGTCGGCCGCGGGGGCGACGGGGGTGAGCAAGGCTACGAGTATACCTTAAGGTACACCGACCTCGTGCCGGTGTTCGATCGCTGTGGACACGGCTCGGATACGGCCGGCTGCAGCCGTGTGCGTGGTGTCGCTGTGTGCTCGGCACGCGTCAGCCCCCCCCTCCCCATATCTCCCCATATCTCCCCCATATCTCCCCATATCTGGAGGCGGCTGACCCGTCGCACGCGCCATACAGCCCCATATCTCCCCCATATCTCCCCATATCTGGAGGCGGCTGACCCGTCGCACGCGCCATACAGCCCCATATCTCCCCCATCTCTCCCCATATCTGGAGGCGGCTGACCCGTCGCACGCGCCGCTGCGCAGCGCCGCGTCGCACGCCGCCGCCGCGCCCGCGAAGTCCTCGTGCTGGTAGCGGAGCAGGCAGGTGTAGTAGCCTGGGGAGATAGGGGGAGATAGGGGGAGACAGGGGGGAGATAGGGGGAGATAGGGGGAGATGGGAGCAGGCAGGTGTGGTAGCATGGAGATGAGGAGATCTGCCGCATCTGGGCGTCGAGATATGCGGAGATCTGCCGCATCTGGGCGTCGAGATATGGGGGAGATCTTCCGCTTCTAGGCGTGTGCAGTCACCGTTCCGGCGCGTGCGCGGCGCCGCCTCGAAGGCCGACTCCATCTCCTGCAGCGCGCGCCTCCTGTCGCCGAGTGGCCACGGCGCGACGGCGAAGAAGCCTCCGAGGTAGCAGTGGCCGACGTGGCCGTCCCACGGCCCGTGCTCGCTCACGAGCTACATGGGTTCGGGTTGCGTGGGGTGTGGGGAGGGTGGGTTCGGGTTGCGTGGGGTGTGGGGAGGGTGGGTTCGGGTACCGAGGGGTAGGGGAGGGTGGGTTCGGTATCGTGGGGTATGGGGAGGGTGGGTTCGGGTACCGAAGGGGTAGGGGAGGGCAGCCGCGCGCCCCAAAACTTCTTGTTGGCGGGTGTGTCGAGGGTGCCGTCGAGGAGAAGGATGTTGCCGCTGCCGCGGATGCGCATGGCGCAGTTGAGCGCGTTGCCCGCCATCAGCTTCAGCTCCGCCGCCGCCACCGCGTCGGCGTGCGCCGCCCTCGCCGCGGCCTCAAAGATGTCGGCCGCGGCGAGGCAGTTTGGCACCGACCGCTTCTTCATCAGGTCGTGCGCGCGGGCGGGCGAGGGCCGGCGCGACACCTCGGTCACGCCCATTGGCATCCGGAGGCCAGCGTACAGCCGCCGGTCCGGCACACAGACGCTGCCCTGGCGCACACAGCCGTCGGAGCACTTGCGCCAGAGGAAGCCCCTCCGTGAGCACGTGTCTGGAGGAGGTGGGAGCTCCGGCGGCGGCTTGTTGAAGAAGACGCCGAAGAGGATGGCCGTGCCGAACCACGCGATGATGCTGGCGTAGTGAAGACACCTCATATGTCGTCGGATCGTCGGATGCAGTGAGCTCACGGGGCAGAAGCCGCGAAAAACAGCGAAAATCGCGAAAAAGAATTTCATCTATTGGTGGCACGACACGATTCAGGGGGAAAATAATTTCGACCTGATTACAATGATACAGCACACAACGAATCGTGTACACGTAACTCGAGAAAGCCTAGCGGAAGTTGTCCGCGCCGAACGCCACAAGTATACAGCGAACGAATCACGCACGACACTAGACAAGAGCGACACAGGAGGAGGAGGAGAGAGGGAGGGAGAAGAGCAAGCACGTCGACCCAGCCAGGCGCCGGGAGGGTCCCGACTGCCGCCGGCTCCCATTGGCCGGGCGCCTCGGCTGGGTCCACCATCACCCGCCCCGTCCGCCGTCGGGCGCAGCCTCGGACGCGGCCGCATGATCCATGAAGCCCCAGCACCGAGACCGCTGACGCCCCACCGAGAGTCGCGCAGGTTTGCCGCGAAGCGTTAGGGCGCCAGAGGGGGCGCCCCAAGTATCAATAATGTTACATCGTAGTTGAAACACGCGTCAGACGCAGCGTCTCCCGCTGGTTGTTGGCGTCTTTCAGCAGCTGCAACCGCGTACGCGCCGCGATGCCTGACGTCCCGAGTCCGTTGTGCCGGAGGCCAGGATACGGAAACGGGTGCATCGACTGCCAGAGCCACTGGAAGAAGGACTTCTTGCCCTGTTCGGCATCGGTGAGCGGCGCGTCGAAGTCAAGCGACCGGCAAGTGCCCAAGGCCCACCCATCGCGCTCCGCCGCGCCAGTCGCAGATTCCGAGGGCACATCGCCGTCGCTGTCCGCGAGGAAGAGCGACTGGCTGACCTGGTACAGCAGCATGTTGCGCCAGAAGGCAGGAATGCAGGGCGCCAGCTTGGTGGCCATCTCGTCCATCATCTCGAAGCTCCACTTCAGGAGACGGCAGTCGGTGACGGCTGTGGCCGCGAAGTGCGTCGTCGACAAGAGTCCGACCCGTATGCCAAACACGTTGGCAACACTGAGGTCGAAGAGCGTGCCGCTGAAGACTCGCCGCCTCTTCGGCTCCTGCTTGCTGTCATGCGATACCTCGAGCTCGGCCACGCCTTCAACGAGCAAGAAGAAGCTTTGAAGGTACTCGTGGTGGCCGACGATGCTCTCCCCGGCCTTGATGGTGACGAACTCGCCGCGTCGCACCACCTGCTCGAACTCCAGCCGCTTCATGCCGGAGCGCCGGTAGAAGAAGCGCCACGTCCGCTCCTCCTCCTCGGTCTTGAAGTGGACCGTGCGCTCGTCGCGCAGCAAGAGCGCCACGACGATTGAGTTCATGATGAAGTTCAGAGTCCCCCAGCACAGCATGTCAAGGAGCAGCACCCGTGGCTCCGACGTCGAAGCCCATCCATCTCCGTGCTGTGGATTGCCTGTCGCCGCCAAGATCACCATCCACATGAAGCCCGCAGCCAGGCAGCTTTTGATGAGCAGCAGGTCCGAGAACAAAGCAGCGAGAAAGAGAAAAATATTAAAGAGCCAGTTGTATGCGTGCGGCACGCCGGTCGCCACATAGGAGGCCATTGCCAGGCGACGACTTCAACAAGAGGGCGGGGGGTACAGGCAAGCAAGAAACATTCAGAGGCATCTTTTCTTTCTTTCTATCTCGCTACCACAGGCAGACTGAAAAGATATTTTTATCAGGTCAGTCAGGACACGATGGCGGCGTGAGCACGACTAACTACGGATCCGCTCCTAACAGTGGCACGCTGGCACGGCGGCACGCCGCACGCGCCGCGCTGCGCCACAAGAAGAGAACGTCAGCTGGTCGGCCGCCATTCGGGCCTCCCGGCCTGCTGCGGCGGCGCGGCCGGTCGAGGCCGGGCTCGGCCCGGCCCGCGACGGCTGGCCGCCGACGAGCGCGCTCGCGCTGCTCGTCAAGATGGCGGCGGTGGCGATTGCGGCGACAAAAGTTCAGGCGTACAGCGCTCAGGCGCCTGTCGTCTTTCGTCTTTTGTCGCATTTCGCACACGCGCGCGCCGCGCGACCCGCGTCGCTCCGCGAGGGCATGAGCCTTCCGCGATTCGATCCCGCAGCCAAAAGCTGCTCGCTCGAACCGCGGCCGACTCTGCCATCGCGGCCGCAGCTGTCGAGCTCTCCAGAAAACTGGTGCCTCACATGCTGCCTCCCTGCGGATGCTGCCGGTGAGCCTGGCGGTCCGCTGTACTACAAGGAAGGAGCAGGCGGACATCACTTCCAGGGAGGGGGGCGCACTTCTCTCCACACCACATGCTGGGGGGGGTCCGACCCCCCCCCAGCACCTTCACCACATGCTAGGGGGGGGGTCCCGCCCCCCCCCAGCACCTTCACCACATGCTGGGGGGGGGGGTCGTGGCCGAGGACCCCCCCAGAGACTCGTGGTCAGGCCCTCCGGGCCCTTGATTTTGCGCCTCATTTCGCAGCATTTTCGAGAGGAAAATCATCCTTTGGAGCTATATGAGCCTTGAGACTGATGAGCGACCCGGTGATGGCGGCGGACGGGCATGCTTACGAGCGGTCGGCGATCGAGCGCTGGCTCGCGACCAAGTCGACGAGCCCGCTGACGGGCGGCGCGCTCGAGCACCCATACCTCACCCCCAACCACATGCTGCGCCGTCAGATCCGGGACTGGGAGGGGGCGCGCAAGGCAGCGTGACCACGCATCCACCCGCACCAGCACCACCCTTGTTCCACGGGGTGCTGGTGCTGGGCGTCTCCCCCTCACCCCGCAGGGTAGAGTAGGAGATGGAGCTGCGGCCCGAAAAAAAACGCCTTTCGTTCGGTTTGCACACAGCGGGGGGTGGGTAGAGCTGCACACATATGTACCAAAAACACCGTGCAATCTCCGACGCGATTCCAACGTTATCTCCAAGTGAGCCAAGTGTGAGATAGAGGTTAGAGCCCCTCGTTCGCGCGAAAGGCGCGAATCTCCCTGTGTGGGCACGCTTGGGACTTGGGTAGAGGAAGGTGTGTGCATTCGAGATTCGTTCGGTGTAAATCTCACGCAAAATAATGATACACACAACGAATCGCAACTCGATGATCGAGATCGTACAGGTGGAAACCGGTTTGGAACAGGTGCATGAGACACAAGTGACGTACGCGAAGTTTATGCCTACACAAGGCCCGTTAGCGCCGCGCGACACGGCGCTGCTGCCTCGCTGCTGCACACCGCTGGGAGCGGGAGCCTGCAGCCCTTTGACGCTGGCCGCGCCACGGGGCCCTGGTTGGAAGCGCCGAGCCAAGCCCCCCCCCTCTGAGGCTTTTGTTTGTTTTCCTTTCCTCCTTCTCCCCCTCCTCTTCTCTCCCCCTTCCCTTTCCCCCTCTCTCTCTCTTCCCTTTCCTCTCTCTCTTCTCCTCCCTCCTCTCCTCTTCTCCCCCCCCCTCCCTT